TCTTGTGAGCTGTAAGATGTTAGTTGAATCAAAGTGGGGGGAAATCGTTCAGGTATCCAGGAACAAAAGGAGATGCAAAACTAGGATTAGTTCGCATTCCCGCAAGGGAGGAAGATGGCCCAGGTGGCTATTTGGGTCGAGGAGTGTGTAAGTTGGGAGTTTGGGAAACTTCCCAACGTTGGGTTTGTGTCTTCTTGGTGTTTTATAGCTGGTGTTAGGGAATTAGGTTGGGAATTCCCGTCAGGATGCGATTTTAGTCAGGATGCTAAACTACGTGAGTGCTTGGCATTGGACATGTTCAAATTGGTAATAAGCGGTAAGACGATGGTCAGTGGTTGAGTTAGCATGGGAAGTATTGTAAGACTGTGGGATAGACGTAGCATTCACCAGCAGCCAGATAGCATGGAAAGTATATTATGATTGTGGGACAGTCGTAGCATTCTTCATGCGGTCAAATAGTGTGGGAGAGTGTTGTAAGACTGCAGGATAGCCTTAGCATTCACCAATAGCCAGAGAGCATGGAAAATATAGTTCGACTGCGGGGCAGCCATAACATTCTTCATGCGGTCAGATAGTGTGGGAGAGTGTTATTAGACTGCGGAATAAGTTGTAGCATTCACAGATTCATTCAAATAAGTTAGGCCAGGGTGGGCCAGAATCAGGAAAGGATAGGTCGTTGGGATTCGAGGTGGAGTTGGACTTGTGTAGCCCTATATAGGTGGGACCTGTGGGCAAGGTCGCTCCGTGATATAGTTTGGGTGGGACTCGTAGGTGAGGACCGTGTGCTTATAGCAATACAGGTGGGACCTGGCAGAGAACATTGGGTCGAGGTATGGGGTCGGGGATGCCAAGATTTATAGATCCATGATTAGCAATGTGGATAGAGTAGTTTAGATAGCCGAAGTTTTCTTCAAAATTCAAGGGGAGCAACTGGGAGGGTGTTCTTTCGCTCAGTAAACAGGTGGGAATTTGGTATTCTAGATAGTTGGTAGATAAGTTGGGACCTGGGAGGTCTTGGTTCATTCGGAAAGTGGATAAGAGGCAGCACGATGTCCGGGAAGAAGTATTGATGTGAAGATTCTTGTGTGTAGAGTAGCTTGCAAATTGAAAGTGCTAAGACACTTACAGTTGGATTAAATAATCTCAGAGTAGTTGATTTGACCCTGTTGCGCAACTCTCGTCTGAGTCTAACCTTTGTAGGGATGAATCTTCTACTCGAAGGATTATCTGAGCCTTCTGTCAAGTATAAGTATTCTACAGCTAGTTATGGTCAGTGGTTTTGTTCTCGTGGGTTGCAACAAGATGTTTAGGCTTGTAAGTATTTTGGTTGGTGTGTTATTTCGATGAGGTTCTGGCATGATAATATTTCACCATGGATAGTCTGTCGGGGAGACAGACCACTATAGATTTCAGACTTCGGATGGGTAGAAGTGGTTTACGGAAACTCGAAGTTTGCTTTCTTAGAGATGGAAGTTTGGTTTTGCGTTTCAGTATTCTTAAAAAGGTTTTTTTTATGCAGGGAATCATCGGTTGCGTACCTCAGATCGTTAGTTGGATGTGGGTGTTAGTAAAGAGCGATTTCGAGGACGAAATCTAATTCAAGTGGGGAAGATTTGTAACACCCGGTTTTGAAAGTGCTACATTGCTAGGGGTTGCATCCCAATCATTCGTTGTTATATGGTTTAGGTCCTTGGGAAAGGAAGGTTTTGGCCACTTTAGATGTGGGTGCTAGGGGATAAGTGATTCACGTATTTGATAGCGTCTTCGGAGGCCAAGGGTATAATCGTAATCTGATGATTCGGTCTCTTATGGGTTTGGGTTTTATTTGGAAGGTTTTAAGGTTGGGGCGTGTTGTTAGGAGTGTAAGGATTCTCACCACCTTTTTGTGGATATGAGGTTCGTTGGAAATGGACCTCGGATGATGAAGATATGACACTTTGAAGTTATTGACAATTTTGGTCCCTAATGGAGATTTGTGGCAAGGCAGTCCCACGCACGCAAGGAATGCATGCGCGTGTTTGGTTGGGTACGCCCAACGTTAGCTAGGTTATGCCCAACATAGATGGTTACATGGTCGCGGGTGGTTTGTGAGTACGTCGGGCATACTAGGAGGTATGCGGGGCGTACTCCCTTTAGACTAAAACCCAAAATTTTAGGGTATGGCACTATATAAGGAACATTATGCCTCAAATACCAACCTCCCTCTCACCCTTAAGCAGCTACCACAAAACCCTAATCCATATGTTGTGTGCTCTTGTGCTTTGAAGGACTTTCGAGAGTATTCTTAGTGTTTTGATCCATTCCTCAAGGAAGTGAAGTTTGAAGCAAGATGGTGGTTTAAAGGAGAAGGTGTAGATCCAGGATTATTGCTCTATTTCAGATCTTCCTGAGGTATAAAGTCTTGAACTTGCTTCTTTAATGCTTAGATCTCTTGTGTTGAGTTTTTGGACCTTTTTGGTCCCAATGATGAAACTTTATGGTTCAAATCTGTTTCCTTGGCTTAGGGTTGCCGCCCTTGGTGCTATTTGATTCCCTAAGTTGGAAAGTTGCCATCTTGAAGGTCTTAATGGGTTCATACAAGAGTTAAGATCATTTTCATGGAAGTAGGATACCATTTTTGGAGTTTGGGATTATGTGGAGCATGCAAAGTCACCGAGTTAGTGACTTTATGGGTTTAGACGATAAGTAGAACTCAGATCTGTGATTTGGTCCCTTGGTTTGAAGTATTAAGTGCTTAATGGTATAATGGCTTAATCGAGCGGTACGCTGGGCGTACAAGCATGTACACGCAACGTACAAGCCATACAGCCTATATGCTTAGCGTACAGAGGAGTATGCCCCGTGTACTCAGTCAGTGGACTAGTTTTATTTTGGGCCTCGGTTTGGGCAATTCATTAGAATCCTTAACTTTCGGCCTTAGTGGGCCATTAGAAATTAGATATTTTGGGCTAAGAATATGTTTGGGCTTTAGGGTAAGTCCTATTAGATGGGTTGGGCCCAATTTAGAAAATTAGGCCATTAGTGGGCTACTAGTGGTCTTGGGAAGGCTAACTAGTAATTAGGCCTTTGTGTGTGGATTTCGGCCTTAGTTATGATTCTTGATGGGCTAAGGGTAAAATGGTCATTTTAACCCCAAGTATGGATTATGGATCATGGTTTGGACCCAATTGCTAAATGGGTAATATTTTGGCATTGATAGCATAAGGAATTGTCAGGGAAGCAGCTAAGGATTTCATGCAGTGAGCTTCAGCATTTGAGGTGAGTTTCCTCCTGTTTGAATGAGTCGAAGGCATAAATGTCGGTTCATATTTATGTTATGTGTTTCTAGGTTACGATCTGATGTCGGTCGGTGCCCGAGGAATGTTGGTATACTTGATGTCTTTGTGATTCTAGCATGTATTTGTATTTGTATGTTTTCCGGATTACGGTGCAATGTTAGGCGATGCTCGAGGAATGTCTGTATGCTTTCCGGATTATGTTACGATGTCGGGTGGGGCCCGAGGAATGTTTATATGTATGATTCCAGACTATGATTTGTTGTCGGGTGGTACCTGATGAATGCATGCATGTTTAGTTATACTTGTTTTCTTTGTGATACTTGTATGTGCCTGGTAGGGAAGTGAGTGTGGGTGGGGTCTCGTATCTCATCATTAGTAGAGTAAGGGCGGGGCCCATGATTTGTGAGGCCTTAAGATTGGAACATATAATATTGTGAATGATTCTTTATGTGCTAGCATGATCATATGTTATTCTTTGTATGTGTATAGAGGGCGAGGCCTAGAGACAGGCGGGCCTGGGAGAAACAGATATGTATATCGAGTGGGGCTCGATGCCAGGTGGGGCTTGATGTCGGGCTGGGCCCGATGAAGGGGTGGGGACCCATTATATGTGATTATGTGTATGGTATGTGGTAGTATGGGGAACTCACTAAGCTTCGTGCTTGCGGTTTTCAGTTTTGGTTTTAGGTATTTCCAGTTGCAAAGAGAAGTGCTTAGGATGATTGCATTGCACACACCATGATGTTTAGCATGGGATGTTTACTCTAATGTTTTGATTTGGAAACTTTGATAATAATATTTTGAAATACTTTGACTCATATTTGATGGAATGGTTTGATAACTATGGTTTTATGTAATAGTTAAAACTAAATTTGTGTTCATGAATTTTTGGGATGTTACAATCCTGTTTCCACCTATTGTTGTGACTTGTATGCTCACGGATGAGATGCTGGATGGCAGGTCTGATGTCCAAACTTTGCTGAGAACACATCACAAAGAAATCGTTAAATGACGACTGGGTGTTCTCCCAGAACGTTGCTCCGACGATTAAGTTGGTTTTCTTACAAAGAGTTGTTTATGGTAAATTCTATGAGAGGGAGAATGGATCCCTTCCTTGAGATGGAAACGATCCTTTTATACTTGTTACTAACTGATCGTGGGGACCTCATGCTATGAGCGTGAGACGTGGCCTCCTCTAACTAGGAGATTTGCCCACGCTAACTAACTGCCATGTAACGTGAGTTCTAGGCGTCACCTAAGCTATTCGTCGCCTTTTGATTGGTTGTGGGTAAATGAGGAGATCACGTGGAATGTTCTTTCCTTGTGATGGGAAATGAGCTATCAGCCCGACGCTGGATCGCATGGGCCAAGACCGGCCAAGGTACTAGCATGGTAACACTCTGTCTAGGCCTTCCGTTAAGTTTAACGTGACCGTACATGGTAATGTTAACACGTCCCTTAGACCATTAGGTGTATGCGTTCGTGACGTAGCAACATCGTTCTGGTCTATTCCCAGACACGTGGCGAACTGCTATTTATGGCCTATGCGGTTCTTAGGGCGAAATCACCGCTCTTTGGTAGTTTCAACATGGAAATGATTCGTTCCTCTTTTTTGGTATTTAAACCTTTTCCTATCCTGGAACATCCTCATCACTTGTTACCTTTCTTTCTGTAAGTTCTTATTCGAAAGAAAGCTTTTCGTCTTTTCCTTCGGACTCTTTCATGGCTTCCTCTCATTCTCTGGGGAGAAATCTCACTGCTGAAGAGTATGAATCTTTTCAATTCCGATTCGGGTTTGTTCCTGAACATGACGTACAAATTCCCCTCTCCGATGTGTCACCTTACAGCCCGCCTGAGGGCAAATTCGAGATTCTGATCGTCTTATTCGAGATAGATCTTTCTTTTCCTACCACCGAATTCTTTAATCTGAACATCCGTGAAAACGAGTTTTCAGTGGGGGGAATTGACTCCCATTGCTATAAACAATATAGTAGGTTTTGAGCTCCTCTGTCGCGCTATAGGTCGCCAACCAACTGTTCCGGCATTCAAGCGCTTCTACAACGCTTCTACCCAGTCTGGGACCGGAACCCTCTCTCACCGGCTGGGAGTCCCTACCCTTATTTACGACCAAAAGTCCAAGAAGAGCTAGAAAGAAAAGTTATTATGGGTGAATAATGATCTTGTGGTGCTTGGCTACCCAAGGATTAAGGCATATGTGGACTGTGCTCCCACGCTTTTTGGTGCTGACAAGGAGCTGGCTGACAACATGGAGAAGATCAACATCAACGACGAGGATTTGCTTGATTTCTTTTTGGCCACCGATGGAATGAGCCCCGCTTGGAGGGCTCCTGGGAAGATGCTTGAGTTATTTGTCGAGAAGGAAGGTATAACACTCATTTTCCCTTATCCTCCCCCTCCCCCTCATTTTTTTGTTTTTAGGCAAAATGCATTGAAATCAGGGTTTTGGTTAACCGTTGTTGTTTTTGTTTATTTTCCAGGTGGGGAGGAAATTATATCCTTGGAGAGGGATCTTTAGGGTCTATTTAAGGGAAAATTCAATGCCGCGAAGTTGACCTTATGGAAGCTCTTCCACCTCCTGTTTCTGGTCAAGGAATCGAGGCTACACATGTGTCTCCCGCCGGTGCAGGCGGTGCCGTTGGTGATGGTGTCGGTGGTGACAATGAGTCGGATTTCCAAGACGCCGTTGTTATTGTTGCTTCCCAGAAGGATCCCACCCCTTGTGGGTCTCCCAGGAGTCTCTGTCGTGTCAAGAGACGCTTCACTATTCTGGAAGCCTCTATCGGCGGTCTTGCCACGATCAATAGCTCTGAGCCCCCTCTTTGCAAGAAACATAATATGAGTTTCCTGCTTTAAGGTTCTAGGAGCTCCACCCTTGCCCCCGATGAGGGTCCTTACAAACTACCGTATGGGGCACCCAATCAGACAATTAAACCGTCCATTCGTATAGTAGAGGGAAACATCAACAAGGTCAACCCCGTTCCCACCGCTGGAAGAGTCGAGGCGAAGACTGGGTCTTCGCCTTCCCATGGTCTTGCATCAGCATCTTTTGATAAGACCACAACCGCCCCTTCTTGCATGTTCACGTCTGGATGCCTACAAGCCAGCTTCGAAGCTAACTGCCCAAGACCTTTTCTCTGATCACGACACCGCTCTTGAATGGTGTTGGTACGCGTTTCCTCCCGCTACCACTGAGGCCCTAACAGTTCTATCGGATGAACACATGGCCGACGACTTGCACCATGCTGCCGCCCAGGTGTCTTCTTATTTAGTCGTAGCTGTTGAACGCATATCCAACATGGAGACTCTCTGGTCTGATTCTGACCGAAACATTATTGGTTGTGAAGAGTTGAAGGATCAGTTGGCAAAGATAGAAGCTGATAAGTGCAATTGGGAGGCCGAGTGAGAGGCAATGCTAATTGAGAAGACAAGCTTGGCTGATCAAGTGGCAAAGCTGGAGGAAGAGGCGAGGCATCTGGATGATTGTGTAGGGGTTTTGAGTGGGTAGAATGTTGGGTTGAGTGAGCGGATAGCGGAACTAAAGGTTAATCCGTTTACTGAGAGCACTGCAAAAGGGGCGCTGGAGAAGGATGTTTAATGGATCCTTAGCAATGGGCTCAATAGGGTGGTGGACCGGGTGCTCAGGAGCCCTCAATTTCTCCACGGCTTGGTACATGTGCAAAAGGCTTGTGTTGCTATAGGTGTAGAACAGGGTAAAAGGATTTTCTGGGAGCAGGTAGCCGCCAGGGATTCTGACCCAAAGTCTAAGGAGAATGTGGTTGTCAGGACTCAAGAGATGGAAGATGCTCTGGTGGCTTTTACTGAAACAAACTTTCCAACCACCTTCGCATTGGCAGTCTGGACATCGTTGGGCTCCATCGTCTTTGTCAAGAAGCTCATAGCGATGATTCAGGTTCCAACCCAAGCTCTGCTCCCGGTGATAAGTAACCCTGTTTTGCGACTTATTCTGATGTGATTTCCTTGAACAATATTTTCTTTTTCTTTGTTTGTTTATGGTCTTTTCTGCCCTCTGTGTCCATTTAGAAGTTCGGGAGTCCGGAACCTATGACAATTCTTTCTTTATATTTGTGGGTATGAATGTTTTATATTACCGCACCCGTTCTTTTTGTTTGGTTGCTTCATGTATGGTCTATGTTGGCCATCACATGGTATTGATGTAGGTTCTATTTACATCTTACCTTATTACTTTTACTGGTGAACTCTTTATGCTTTACTGAAGATGTCCATTGAGAAATTTGTTCTAATTTGCTGCTTAAAGACCCTAGGTGTAGCCAAGATCGTCATCTTGAGGCTCACCCAGTTTTTTTTCTGATTAGTGGAAGGTTATGATTCTTCTACACTTATGTCAAATGTTCTTTCATATGTATACTGTAATGCAATTGATGAACATATTTTGGGGGAAAGGTTATGAGCCTTTTAGATAAAACCCCTTGGTTGCCTCCTTGTGATGATTTCGATTGTGTGACTTTAGATGATCCATCCTTGTTGTCACACGATAAATGCACACAACCCCTTTTGCTTAATTTTTCAATGAGAAGCATCTAAAATGCTTTCTCTTTTTTTTTTTTCTAGTTTTATTGTTGGAGCGTTATAAAACTGAAAATGATAATGTAATTTCTGATGGTTACATTTATATGTCAAAACTAATATAATATGCCTTTTCTAGCATTGAACCATACACATTTTAAGAGTAAAATGATGCATGCTCTGCGCATTCCACATTCTTGGAATGGCATGCCCATCCCAAGCCTCCAGGAAATAAGCACTATTCTTATGGGCTTCCACGATGTTGTACGGTCATTCCCAAGTGACATTGAGTTTCCCCAATGGTTCAGCATGGATAGACTCATTCTTTCTTAGCACCGATTCTCCAACTTTGAAGTTTTTGACCCGGACTTGGTAGTTGTAATAGTTCTCAGTTCGTGATTTGTACAGTGCTTGGTACACCTATGCCGCCTCACATTTTTCGTCCAGCATGTCTTGGTCCTGGTGTCGCTCTTCTTCGTTGGCTGGTACCTCAAAATTCTCTGTTCATAGGGAATCAACCATTATTTCCAATGGGAGGACTGCTTCCGTCCCGTAGGTTAGACTAAATGGCGTTTTTCCCATGCTTGACCTTGATGTGGTACAATAGGACCACAACACTATCGGGAGTTCATCCACCCAGGTGGAGTTTTATCTGAGTTGTCTTTTCTTCAAACCATTAACTATGGTTTTGTTCGATATTTCGGTTTGCCTATTATCCCGAGGGTGCGCCACTGACATGAAATGGCGATGAATCTTTTTGTCTTCACACCACTCTTTGAAGGGACTACCTTTAAATTGTGTACCGTTATCGCTTATGAGCATTCTGGGTGTGCCAAAATGGGCCAATATGTTCTTGGTCATGAATTTTATCATTTGTTTTCCAGTGACAGTGGCCAGTGGTTCTTCCTCTATCCACTTTGCGAAATAATCCATGGCTACTAGCAAAAATTTCACACCCCCTGGCGCTGGTGGGAAAGGTCCCACTATATCGATCCCATATTGGTGGAAAGGATAGGGGTTGGTGATGTTGGTCAATGGTATAGCCAATTGATTTCGGAAAAGAGTGAATGTCTAGCATTCCTTGTATTTCTTGGTTAGGGTTGTTGCGTCGTTGTACACGTCTGGCCAATATACCCCTAAGCGGAGTATTTTGCCTATGAGTTCTCAAGCGCCATCATGTGCCGCCGCATCCCCTGAACGACTTTATTCTAGGAATGTCTGCCCATCTTCTTTGGAGATGCATTTTAGCCATGGACTGAGATACCCTCTTCAGTATAATTGGTTATCCCCGATTGCAAAATGTGACTCCCTGATCTTGACTTTTATTGCCTCCTCATGGTCATCCAGCAGCACTCCATGGTGCAAGTAATTAACATACGGTTTGTTCCATTCCGTTGTAGTCGATATTGTATTGACCTTTTGGTTATCGATACTTCTCTCCAGGAGCACTTTGAATATCACTTTCTTTGTTAAGTGATCATAGGAAGTTGAGGCTAACTTGCAGAGAGCGTCCTCCCTTGCACTCTTTCCCCAGGATATTTGTTTTATGGAAAAGCTTTTGAACGTGTTGGTTATATTTCGAACTACATCTAGGCATTTTTTCTTCCTTGAGTCTTTAACCTCGTACTTTCCATTTACTTGGTTTGTGATAAGTATTGAATCGCTGAGGGCTGCTAATTGCTTTATGACAACCTCATTAGCAAGCCTCATACTTGCTAGGAGTGCCTCGTACTCTGCCTCGTTATTGGATATTTGAAAGTCAAATCACAACACGTAAGTGATCTTTTCGCCTTTAGGGCTTTGAAGAATCAGGCCTGCGCCTGAGCCTTCCTTACTTGACGTGACATCGGAGTACAACTTCCAGAGTTCCTTACTAGCTTCACGCTCGAGTGGATTGGTGGAGATCATCGTTGGCACTCCCTTGATGGTATCTGGGATTTTGACCAGAAAGTCTACAAGAGCCTAGGCCTTGATGCTGGTTTTGGAGTGGTATTGGATGTCATGTTCACCCAACTCTATGACCCATTTGGTCAGGCGCACAGACTTTTCCCGCCTTAGTAGCACTTTCTTTATCGGGTAATTGGTCAGAACATCCACCTTGTGGGCTTGAAAATATCTCCATAGTCGCCTGACTACGTAAACTAGGGTGAGGACCAGCTTTTCCAAGGTCGGGTAATTTACTTCTGGACCTTGTAGGGCCCTACTAACAAAATGAATGGGGATCTGATTGCTTTCTCTTCACTTCTAGTACAGAAGAGGTGGACTCTTCAGACGCTGCTAAATACATCTGTAGGAGCAGGCAGGCGAGAGCTGGGAGTTATTGTAGGGCGTCTTTCAGTTTTTTCAACGTCGCATCTGAAGGGTTTTGAGCATCCTAACAACCTTAAGGTGCACATACAACCCTAAATGCTTTGGATCTATGTTTTCTCTAATTATATATCACACCCCGAAACCGAAGGCGGAAACGTTCCGGGGCGGAGGTGACTTCATGTTGAATATCATAACCAATGTACATAGTAAGCGAAGTAAACACAAAACATTACATTACATAGATTTCAGTACATTAGTTTGAAAATAAAGTAATACAAGTTTCATATATACATAAGTTCAAACAAAAGAAAGACGTGACTTCCATACACTTCGTCTTCTGCAAAAGAACACAGGATACCTGTCTAAGGAGAACCTGAGAATACAAGCATTTTAAAAATCAGCATAAAGATGGTGAGTTCATAAGCAGTTTGTTTTATGAAAATGAACTAGATTCCTTTTGTTTTCTGAAAAAGTGGTTATCCAAGAAAATCTCATATTTTCTTAAAAGTAATGTTTAGTTTTCCGTTATGTTACACAATTCTGGTTATGAATAGTTATTACCCCAGGAAAATCCTATATTTTCCTAAAAGTTGGTTACCAATCCGAAATGTAATGTAAAAAACGTATACTGAAAACCTGATTATCCTTGTGAAGTGTATG